CAGATTGATCGAGAAAAAGAACCCAAACCCTAGGCATCCAAGATGGAAAATCTTCATCAATTGGAGGACGAAGAGCGTAGATAACAGTGACAGATAAAACGGAAAAATCGGGGTTCAGACAGTAAGAGCTTTGGCGAAGAGAATAGGGGGGAGAAGGGGTGGTGAGAGGCAGGGGAGGAAAGAGAGTGGGCGAAGAATATAAGGAAGAAGAACACCATGATTTGCAGACGCTTCTGAAGCTTAAAATGTCAATTGGGTTTGTGATTAAGAATTCAGCAATGGCGGATAAAAGTTCCTGAGGAAGGTCCGACCATGGCGGAATTACACCCATAAAATCAAGGTTATTTCTGGGTTTTCGGTGTTTTTGTTTGTGTTAACTGAACTATACAGCAGTTGTTTGTAATAAAAGAAAGATTGAAGAACATATCTAGACTTTTACTCTGTTCATGTAATAACGGTTGATTGGTTGACGGAAATGGGTAACTTGACTACTGCCGTTTGTCTCCATGAGAAATATAATACTACACCCTCCGTCCAATTTATACTCCGTAATTTATGTTTGTCAGTTTGTGTACTACGGACTACGGAGTAGTATTATAGACAAAAATCTCGAGAAAAAAAAGTGGTTTAGAAAGTAATAAAATGAATAAAGTAAAAAAAAAAAAAAAAATAATAAAAAAAAACATTTTTGGTATCCTTAAAAGTAAAACATGAAGTATAATCAATTACATTATACTAAAGGCGAATCTGATATGACACTTGTCAGGTTTTGATTAAAAAAATTCCCGCCACTTTTACTTTCCTTTTTTTAACAAATATTTATGAACATTATTTTATAATATCCTATAATATTTAACTTTCAATTTGACAACTACTTCCTCCGTTAACTATTATTTACAACATATACTATAAATGGATGCTAACTATTATGTGCAACAAATGTTTTCTTTCCTTTTTAGTTTATCATTTCTCTCTATCTCTCTCCTCATCACATGCACCCAACTTTTTCTCTCTTCATTTTACACTCACAAACAAATTTTGCCTAGGAGTCCGCAAACACCCCCTTTGTTGCAAATAATAGTTAACGGAGGAAGTATATATAAAGTATATTCTATATGCATTCAATGAAAATATTTTGACACATAATATTTTATAATAGGTATTTTATGGAAAAGATAATCAAGTATTTGTTTCAATTAAAAATATTGATTTTTATTTTTAATTAATTATTGTTAAATTAACATTATAATTTATAAATATGCTAAGTAAAAACCGTGCATTGCACGGGACTTAAACTAGTATATTAATATGGGCGGAGAGAGTAATGCTATTTTTTTTTTTTAGAGAACAACATTCTCACCGTTTCATAATGCATAAAATTTTAGGAAAATTATAGGGTGAAGACGGAAAAGAGGATTTTTTTTATAGGAAAATTATAGTTAGTGGGGATATATATTTAGTTTTTAGTTGGAGAGAGATATAATAAAAAAAAAAATTAGTGTAAGTGGAGGTGATTTTTGGGGTTTGGTGAGTCCGACTCACCGCGGAAACAACCCCGACCCAAGGAACCACTCGTAATTAATAAAACCATAAAGCATAAATAAATAAGCACAAGAAAAGGAAGAACGAATCATACCCTTGAAGCGAGCTTCGCCCTCTCAAAACGGGCTCTTACTTGAAAGCCTTGAGCACCGCAAATGTCGTGCCTCCAACGGTATCCACCCATAAAGGACGAACACGACTTTTTAGGTCTGCTACCTTGGAGTTAGCAAGGTCCGACAAAAACCCAAGTGTTAATGGAGTTTAAGTGTTTTTCCAAAATATGGAATGCTCTTTCTAACTCCCACTCAAGCACTTTACTCCAAATCCCAAGGTTGGTATTTATAGAGGAAAGTGTAAGTGGGAATTTCTATCCCATCAGTGTGGGATTAATGAAATTCCACAAATTAATTTAAAGCTAAATTAAATTAAATATATAAGCAAGTAATAAATCAACAAGTGTCCTATTCATATGTAAAGAGGAGTATGGACCACTTGGAGAGGAGGGGACCATACTTGCTCCCCACTCCTTCCTCTGTGTCCACACCAAAAAGCAAGCATACTTACTAGCTTCCCCTTTCTACCCGACCTAGGCCCACGGCCCAGCTAGCCTCGCACCGTGCGGGCTACTAGCTGCTGTCAGCTCGGCCCAGCACGCCCACGCACATCAGTGCGGGCTGCTGATGTCGAGGGCGCTGCTAGCTAGCCACGCACATGTGCGGGCTGCTAGCAGCAGCGCACGCCAGCACGCCACACACTGCTTGCGGGCTGCTGGTCGTGCTGTGCTAGCATGCCTCACACATTGTGCGGGTTGCCAGCCACGCCTTGTTAGCATGTCTCGCACATGGTGCGGGCTGCTAGCTCGGCTAATCCCCTAACACTCGGGATTCCGATGCTAGGGGTATTTTGGTCATTGTTGATTTATTACTAATTTGTCGTCTCGTCTTTTTATTATTTTTGACTCGACTTCCGACGCTCGGTTTCGACGCTCTAAGCTCGAATTTCCGACATCTAAATATTTAACACTCGGGCGACGAATTAATTTCTTCCGAATTAATTCGTCGAGTCGGTTCGTATATTTTGCTTGGGTGTGACCCGAAGGGTTCAGTCAAGATTAAGTTGTAATATTAATTATATTAATATTACTGATCGGAAGCGGCCTCCACCCAGGCATTCCGATCACTTGACCTTACTGAATATATTAGCTTTCTAATAATTCTGAACCCGCTATCAGAATAATACACTTGTTCGAAGGACACCATTCCTTTCAGTGATAAGAGAGATATACTCCGTATAATAAAATGTGAAGTAGTAGTTAGTCCTTTCAAACAAAAAATAATAAATGTTTCAATTATTATGAAACAAACGTAAAAGGATAATATTGCAATTATTATGAAACAAAAGGAGTACACCACATTTATTTTCACATTTATTGATGCATTATTTTGATTGTTAATATCTTAAATCACCAATATGTAAAAATTATATACATATACATATGATATTATAATAGTTTAAATCAAGACGAATCTAGCCAAGAAAATAAATAAATAAAGGTAAAAGCTAATAAACGTCCCAAGGACATTGGATAAGATTACACATCAATTACATTTGATCGATGTGTGATTTTCGCATGCATTCACAATTAATATGAGTACCATTTTGGGATATATTTTAAAGGGTTAACTAACACCCCAAGGGTGTTTGTTAGTAGAATTTTTTTTTTATTTTAAAAAAAAAAAACTTATCCCCGACAACGCACGACCTTCCCCCTTGTCCCTCCTCGACATTTCCGCGCGAAAACAAGGAAGATCTAGTAGTAGTGGGGGTAAAAGGAGGTAGTGGTGGTATAGGGAGAAGAAAGAGAGTGAGCGAGGTTAGAAATTATAATTTTTGCGGGCGTTACCTGCAGATTCAAGGGCAATGTTTAATGACCCCCTTAGAAAATTGTAGAAAGCTGGAGTTTTAGAGATGGGGAGGAGAGAGAAATTGTTTGTAATCCACCTGAACTACCACCCCCACCACTAACACCATAACCAGAAACCCCACCACCACCTGAAACTCATCACCATCGAAATCTCGAAATTCCAAAACCCCACCACCAGCGAAATCCCGAAACCCCACCCTACAATCACCCTCCTCGCAACAAATCGAAGGCCACCCCACAACAAGAACTCAACCCACCTCACTCACCCTCCCTGAGGTCGCAGAAAATCGAAATCCACCACAAAACACCAACCCTAGGTTTAGATATGATCGATTTTCGTCGTTTTTCTAAGATCGCACACCCATTTCTCCCTCCTTCGTTTTGATATGAGATCCTTAATTCAAACAAAGAAGAATGCGGTCGATGGTGGTGGTGGTGGAAAAGAAGATAAACCCTAAATGAATATCAAGAAGATTGGTGGTTGTAATGGTCCGATGTCGAAGGTGTTTTATGGTGGCTTTGGTGTTGGTGGTCTTGTGTCGAAGGTGTTTGTGGTCTGGTGCGGTGGTTCTTCTGGTGGTCAGTGATGATGGTGGCCGTGGCAGTTGTAGGAGGGGAGAGAAGGAGTTTTTTTAATTAGTTACGTATAGCCGGGGCGATGCCCCAGGTTACTACTTTTTTTTAAGTTATGCAACTATTAGGAAAATGCTATACATAGCCCTAAGGGCTATATATAAGCATTAAAAATACTCTAGAAAATTGTTTTAAATTCGGAAATCATGACAAAAACACACTACTAATTACACTGATTTGTGCGTGTTTTTGTCATGAATTCCTAATTTTATACAATTTTCAAGGGTATATTTAATTGTTATATGTAGCCCTAAGGGCTATATATAGCGTTACCCATTAATTAATTTTTTCAAATGACATAATAGTTTAAAGGAAATTTTTTAAATTACCACAAAAAAATGTAACCATTTTTGAACTAACCACCCGTTTAACTTTTTATTTTAAATTACCACCCCTTAAATTAAATAAATGCTCATATTACCACCCATTTCAAAAATCCGATGGATTTTTCGTCTGTGGGCCCGACCTAAAGCTTATTTTGACCTTTTGACTGATTTTTTTCCCCCGATTTTTCTCTTTAAAAACACTCTCCTAACTTCAATTCACATTTTTCTCTTTGAAATTTGGTAGAATTTGGTGAAGGAAATGTGAATTAAAGTTTAGAGAGCGTTTTTAAAGAGAAAAATCGGGGAAAAAATCAGTCAAAATGATCAAAATAAGTGACGGAAAATCCACCGGATTTTTAAAATGGGTGGTAATATGAGCATTTATTTAATTTAAAGGGTGGTAATTTAAAATAAAAAATTAAACAGGCGATTAGTTCGAAAATGGTAACATTTTTGGGTGGTAATTTAAAAATTAACCTAATTTAAATGTGTTTTTAATACTTTTGCAGTATAATATAAATTTGTGTGCAAGATTATAACATAATTGACAATTACTTAGATGGTTAAACAATTTGGGGAGTATATTTTATCGTTTATCTCTTACTTTAAAAGAGATTCAAATTATTTTATCATTTTTTTCACAAGGGCTGGTGATAAGAATCGATCCCAATATCTCTTGGAAACAAGAGGAAAGCTCTAACCACTTGAACTATCTCTCACTCTCAAATATTATAATATTACTATATATACACACACATATATATATATATATGCACATGCTTTGATATTGAGCTTGAAGTCTCGAGGTGAATAGAGTCATAACTAATAAGCTTACTGAAATGATAAATATGACACTTGACAATCTTGGTGAATCCAATCAATCCATAAATGGTGACAAATGAGCTATTCAACTATTGCAAATAAATTTTCCTTTTCGAGGGCATTCTCCAATTCACTGATTTTTTCTTCAAACAGAAGGAGCTGAGTATCAAGTTCTGTCACCACAGAATACCAATCAAAAGCACAGTCATTCTGTTTCACAGCTTTCAGTATTGGATCAACAGATGCATGCCTTTCCATAGCTGTAAGCTGTCTGGATGATCCTATCTGCACAGGAAGGCAATCCATTCTTAAACCATAATTCAATCTCGCAAGCAATGATATCAATTAAAAACAATGACCAAAACAAAAACGGAAATGTAATAAAGGAATTGTAGTGTTATAATCAATAAGAGCAGTTTTTTTTTTTTTTTTTTTTTTTCTCACATAGAGGTAATGATGATTATGCAAACCACCATCATCAGTCAGATGATCGGCCGCCACAATGAGTATGTGATCATTCACAAATCACAACCCTACACGAACTTTGTTTTAACAAGAAATATAATCTTCGGAAATCCAAATCAGAATTATTTCTCTCTTCTAAACTTCAAAACTCCAATTAAAAAGGTCTAGCCATGCCATATAAGTTTCGCAAATGGTTGTGTTATAATTCCAATTTTCAGGGATAGAGAATGGGGAACAATAAACTTTTAAAAAAGAACAATGAGGAGAAGTTGTGGCATTTACTAGCATATATGAGATAGATGATTTTGGATGGACACTCACTTGAGGATACTAAAACCCAACAGCAATAATGAGCAACATAAAAGACTTTTAGTTCAAATTCTTCTTTCACTCTTCTACATACCTTATAATCTTATATAGTGTAGCAGGCCAACATGTCACAATCCAATTAAAAGGAAGCATTGAGAAACGATATCATATGCTTCGACAGCAAAATTCAAGGGATTATATGTAAACGTAAGCTACAGAAATTACTTGATTATGCTGATTTTCGGAATTGCTGTGTTTCTCCAATGGCACAGCTAGCTTTTCAACAGCCTTTATTTTGTCAACTACCTCTCTGAATCGATTCAGGAGTTCCTTCATCTTAAGAGAGCATTCCTTAAGTTGAAGTGCACATTTTTGTTGCAGCGGAGAGAGTTGATGGAACTTAGCCTACATCAATTGCTAAAAATTAGCAAGGGAGATAGAGAGGGAGGGATGGGAAGGAGTCAAAATTAGAGATGAAGGCAATAACGCATCATCATTATTTTCAAAACCTCTGTCACATCTATAGTATTTATTCAAAATAATAAGGAATGCTCCTTTATTCAAGTCACATCTATAGTTACTGCCTTAACCTGTAACTGAAAATTCAAAATTTCACGAACTACGGCTATTCAAAGGCAGGTATACTTGAGAATTAATATTCTGCTGTCTAGACTCTACTCCTCCTTTATTTAAGACTGCCCTCTTTTATGTCCTCTTGTCATTAAATCCTTTTCATCTGTAAGTTATAATCAGAAATTTAACACTCAATTGACATACATCTACAGGATCTTACACATATTAGGAGGGGGGGGGGGGTGCGAGGATTTTTTTTTTATTTTTTATTTTTTATTTTTATATTATATATAAAAAAGGGCAGAACCTTTATATACTCATCTGGAATCCTTGATTGTGCAATTGAGAGGGTTCCAAGACGCTCAGACCTGACAGAAAACAGAAAAAGTCAACATTGCTTAACAACCTATTCCAGTTATATTCTACTCTGTAAATTTATAATTAGACAAGCAAGAGGATGATTTTTCAAAAGCCATACTAATTTTGTAGATTTGTACTCATTAAAATACTTTCATCTTCAATGTCCACTAGCTACTATTTGATATACACCGTTGGGTTGTTTGACTAACAAAAAAAATTTATAAATTTCTTTGGGGAATAAAAACCATTTGATAGTTTTACTGCAATTGCTTCTGAAATTGTTATGATGATGATTCAAGTGTCTCCTACAATAGTTTGCTGCCATTGAAGACAACTACTCAACAATGACAGGAAAAAATATCAGTATACGCACCATACTCCTTTCCCTTGCCATTTTTCTCACATCAGCCTTCCCCAAATACATCCCTACTATCAATCCATTAACACAGGTTTCTATTCCCTCCATTATTTTAAGTGCATCGGTTTAACTAGCACGTTAAAAAAAAAAAAATAAAAAAAAAAATAAAAAAAAAAACTTGAAGAGAAAATTTCCAAAAAGAAAGTGTTGCACTAAAAAAAAAATAATAATAAAAAAATAAATAAAAATTCATGCACTTAAAAAAAGCGGAAGGAGTGGTAGCCAAAATCTTTATCATCTCGTTTTGGAAACATCCTTCAGCCCGTTTAAATTAAAAGTAAGCCCACACAAATAATGACACCCCAATAAGGCGGATTCTCACTGAATTTCGTATTTCCTGCAACCTTGAAATTAAATAGACCTTCAGAATGCTCAAAGCCATCAGTTTTTTCTATAGTCTGCAAACTAGATTAAGCTAAACAAGGAAAAATGCACAATCACCCAAAAAGGGAAAAGCATAGTGCAACTTGAATTGTACAACCTACATATTAGAATATGAAAGTTCCAGTCTTCCAGAGCGCCACCATGTCTATAATAGAACTATTTTGCATAATATTCTCTATATGTGGAACCTTTATGTACTTCCCAATTTGAATCTTAAAGTGCCCCAAAATAGCAGCCTATGCTACTCATACTACTCGATAAACTTGCCATGCACAGGTTACACATAAAACTTCAAATGGGTGTTCCTAGTCCTTCCTACTGCATTATCATCCCTCCAGTTCAATAGATAACATAAAAGAACCTGACACATTCATGTTGGACACTTTCCATGAGTGCAACCAACAGGTTTGAATTTCACCGAGCCACATTGATAGAAGCAACTAATTTTGTCTACTGCAAAAACACAATTTTAACTATTCAAAGAACTATTTTAATCAAGGTACCAATAATAGTTGCCACTTGCCAGTCAGTGGTAGAAGATGCTAGGGTAGGAAATATAATACATGGGTGTGTATACTAGGCTCTTAAAAGCTTTGGCGGTTGCTCTACAGCAGTTGTGGTAAAGAATGTTTCTTCTCCATTCATAAATTGATTGAAGGAAAATATTAAAGGGAAACACTGATCTAAATTCCATAACATCTGTTTTGTGTTAGATAACATACCATGATAACATGAAATAGTGTTTTGTCTGAAATAACATATCAAGAAATAAAGCACAAAACAAGTTTTCTTACAAAGGAACAAAAATAGTGATTAAATACATACCTGTCTTTCGGCCAGAGCCAAGATTGGGGCGGCCAAAATAAATTAGAATAGCCAAGGGGTGATTCAAGTAAACCAAGATGAGAAGCATCTTCCAAATGCCAAATTCTAATATGAAGATAATTAGATACTGATGTCATAAATTTAACATAATCGTCATCGTATCCATCGTAGTTCAAAAAACTTTGTTCATTAAAAAGAATACAATTCTTTCCATAAGAACCATGGAGCTTCTCAGCTTCCAAGGAAAAGGAAAATTCAGGACTAATGAAAAAAGTTTGATCACCAAGACTATTAACCTCAACCCATTTCTTGTTATTGAGCTCATAAACCTTGTCATTCTCCGCACTAATATTACTGCGATCAACTAAATACAAGCGCCCCAACGACTCCACTAAACGTTTCCGGTTTCCACCTCCATCAGTGATGGGAGATACGATGGCATGATTCGCATCCATTTTCAAACGGTTAGCACAACCTATCTTAATCTCATACATACTTCCTCTACGATCAATGCCCAAAACCCGACCCTTAAATTCAACAATATCATCAAATTGAATTCCTTTACCATCATGTATAATTTCCCATTCTGTTTCAGAACCCACATTCTCAAAACTTAAACCCAACCTAAGCAACCCCAATTTCCCAAAATCAGAAAGTACAACAACAGCCAAACCATTGTCATTCGAAAACAAAACCACTTTATGAACAATCCCAAAAACAGATGGTTTAACACTCCCTTTAGGAAGATAACTAAGATTGTAAAATCGACCCAATTCAGAAACGCGATAATCAAGCAAATTTAGGGTTCGAGGGAAATTAATAGGCATAGAATACGGAACCCTACAAAAGGGTTTACGAAAACTGACCTTTCCAGAAACAGATTGATCCAGAAAAAGAAGCGAAACCCTAGGCATCCATGATGGAAAATCTTCATCGATTAAAGGGCGATAAGCGTAGATAACAGTGGCAGATAAAACGACGGCGTCGTCAGTTGCATTGGGGTTTAAAACAGAGGAGAAGCGATTTAGAAGAGAATTGGGCGGAGATGGGATGGTGAGAGGCAGAGGAGGAAACAGAGTGGAAAGAGGGGAGGAGAGAGAATAAGAAGAGGAAGAATACCATGATTTACAAACGCTGCGGAAGCTGAGGATGTCAATGGGGTTCAAGCATTTGGCTATGGAGGTTAGGAGTTCTTCATGAAGGTCTGACCATGGCGGAATTATACCCATTTTACAGAGAGTACTGTATCAGTTTACAAGAGTGTTACTTTAGGAAAACTCAACAATAATTTATAAAGTAGTATTAAGGGTAAATTCAAGTTTATCTCCTCGTCAAAGGAAAAAAAAAAATGTTAAAAGGAGCAATTTAAATGATAACAAAAAAAACCCTAATTATATTTATATTTTGATTAGGATGGCCAGCACGCATGATGCTTTTGTAACAAAAAAAAGTACACTTGATGCTAACGCGCATGAATGATGCATGTGTCATGGCTAATTATGTCTGACAGCTCTATTGATTTTACTTTATGTCATAAATTTAGTTGTTGACATCATTAATGAGAAAAAATATTTAAACTTATAATTTTACCTCAGCTTTTATACGTGGCTAGTCATCCAGTATGACCAATCATAATAGGGTTATTTCATGGTTACTTCGTTTATGCTAGAGGAGTTTCGATCACTAACGCACTGTGGGGGAAGATTCTTAGGTTGCAGGGTCAGATATTTGAAAAATAAAGTGTAACTGTGTAAGCTAAGTTTAATTCAATTTGCTATACCATTTATGATCTCCACAACTAAAGATGTTAGTCATCGATTTTCATTTAAGGCTTAACATGACTGCTTTACCATATCATGGGAAGAAGACATCAGTATACAACTATGATAATAATGATACTGTAGCATAACACCATTGTTATTTTCAAAAGAAAATATCAAATTATCAAACATGTGTTGCTATCTATTCGTTGTGGAAGATGAGTCATCCATTCTTTTCTCACGCTGAACAGACCGAGGAACAAAAGCCAAGCCACGGTTGTGGCGACGGCCAAAGCTGATGGACGAAGGCATGGAGTCAGAGGTACTTAATCGAGAGATAGCAGAAGTAAGATCTTCCATGGTGTCGTCAACCTCAGCATCCAATGGCATTACATTTGATGTTTCCTCTTTGCAAAGAGCTTGTTTACGCCACTGCTTTTGCCTCTGTTTCTTAGACAGGTGCACTTTCTTATAAAACTCAAATGTAGTAGGAAATTTGTGCTTGTCCACAAGATGTTGATGCCGGGCTTTGTAACTTTTGAATTTCAACCCGCAAGTTTCCACCAAGCACTCGTACTGAATATGAAAATAATCAATCTTAATTTCTGTATTTAGCTTTTAAAAATGTGCACTAAGTAACAAACACCAACCATTCATCATAACTTCTAACATAAGTGCATTGACAAACAACTTTTTCTTAATTGGTAGTTAGTTCCGCAGCTACATTGCCACTACTTGAAAGTGAGGACACTAGCATAATTGAACCATTCTGCCATAGTGCCATCCTATCAACCCCCACCCTATGGTCTAATAGACTAATAGCATGCTCGTGAGAGATAATTAGTCGTCTCCATTGCTACAGTTAAGTTTTCCAAGATTATAAAAGATGCTATCAGTATAGTAATATCTGTGTGCCCGAGTACCTTCAGAAGCAATATCAAGTATCACCAAGAGGAGAACTTCAAAATTTAACTAATGGTGGGGGGGGGGGGGTGGTTGGGGGGGAATATGTGTGATTAGGTGAAGATATCAAAGCATATGTGGATAGTTAATACTTACCATAGGATATCCCCTTGCAACTTTGGCCTTGAAGTAAGAATCATGCACTTCAGACACATGTATGCTAAGCAAGCGTTGCGTAGGATATGCTTTATGGCATACTGAACAGGATGCAGTATGGCTCGCATTATAGTGATCCTCAAAACCTTCCAATGAATTTAACCGTGCGCCACAACCAACAATTGGACAGAAAATCTCCCTGCTATCATATTATCACATTAGGTAGGCTCAAAATCATACAAGCAGGACAAATATTGAGCATTTAGTCATGTAATTATCATATTTAAGCTTACCCATCCAGGTGGAAAAGGAAGAGAATGACTAAAGAGAATATATAACTATATAAGCTCCTTTTTTAGCATTTGAACAAATTAGATTGGAAAAACAAAATACTTGAAACAACTGATAATATGATACTGTATTACCTTTCATGATTGTCCATGTCGATAAGTTGTTTCTTTTCATCTTCAGTCAAGTCAATTGCAACCTGGAGAAAATGGATATAAGTCAAGAAAAAGAAAGAAAAGAAGCCACTTTGTTATTAACCTCAATACAGGGTCTATATTACAAGAAAGCTTAACCAGGAATTGAAAGGAAACCGTAAATTTAATCGTCAAAGTACACAAATTGGAGAATGCTAGGATGTTAAACGAACTAATTCTGCAGTATCATCTCTAAGACTCCAACATTAAAAGAACTTCCCAAAGAGAAGCTTAAACTAAAAGTCAGGATTCATTTAAATGAACAATGAGTAAGAGCCAACACTTATCCCAATATGCCATTATGTATTTATGTTATGAAGAGTAATGAGAAGACCGTTTGATAACTCATGGTTTTCCATTTTCATGAAACCCCCCTCTCTCAAAATTTAGCTTCCTCATGATGTCGGACAAAATTTGTTATCTTTCGCCAAATAATACCCCAAAGTTGCACATACTCATGGTTTATAATTGGATTTTCCAAAATATCCAACTTAAAATGATGCAGCTATCATATACATCCCTTAAAGTAAAATCATACCATATCCTTAATTACGAGGGAACGGGACAAGGGAGGCAGTTACGAGCTAAATAACAACTGTACTTTCAGATTGAGTTTATGAATTACAAATGTATATTTACTCACTTCATCTGTTTATTTTATTAGTTGCAACTTGCAACTTACCTATGTTACTCCGACTCTTCAACTATCACGTATGTTAGATTGTCACCTCATAAGTCAAAACTCTCAAGTCACAACATTATTTCAAAATACCCAAACATATTTGTTTTCTCATTTGATGATAAAATGAGCAATAATCATTGAAATGAGCAAATAATAACATTAGGTGCACCTTTTTTTTTTTTTTGAGGGGGAACCTTAGGTGCACCTACATCCGGGTGTTTATAATAATTTCCAATCTTATTAAAGCTCAATTAATTATGAGAACGACCTTTTATACCAAATTAGCCTGATTTTTCCTAAATTAACCACTTATTTCAAGCAAATCTAAACCTGATTATATCAACAACATAAATGATTACAACACACAATATCTCTTAAAAATACTGTAATTTTAATAAAAATGAGCTTAATCGAATTAACTAGTAGTATAAACTATAAAGTATGAAATTTGACAATGATTAAGAAAGAAAAAATAAAGACCTGTTTATGAAGAAGTTGTCGTTCAATATCGCCGGAAGAGAAAAAGGGAGAATCAGGTGCGAACTTCCGAGAAATAGGCTTCCAGTAACAAAACTCTGATCTGGATGTACCTTGTTCGATTTCCATCGCCATTTTTATGTAAGAAGAGAGAATTTGAGGATGTGTTTCAAAATTTTCTGGGTTATTCTACCGTTTGACACATTGATTTTGAAGAATTTTTGAATCTGGGGTGTTTGTTTGGGTTTTTGCTGAGGTGGTGTCTTATATTCTTATATTGGGCTGGGCCTAGAAAGTTGAATACTTTAATATTATTCTATGGGCTGAGCCTCATTCAAATATTAAATGTCCTAGTCCAGTTCCGCAAATTATAATATGCACCCTTGTGCACACAGAACTACGTGCACCACTAATAGGGCGCTGCCACGTAGCTGCTTCTTCCTAGCTGTTTGTTTCCTTATTTTTGCAATGTATTTCCCGCGTTCTTTCCTTTTTCAATCCTATCCTTATTTCTCCATTTTTCCTTTTCAATTATCATTCGAAATTTTCTCTCGTTGATTTTCTCTCTCCTCTAGTTTTCTCTCATCAATTTTCTCTCTCAGTTACTTTCTCTTTTCGATTAATTCAGTGCTCTTCTCACCATTGTTGATTGCTCTGTTTTTGCCATGGATTTAATTTCTGTGCCTGAATTTCTTGATAGTGGAGGTAAGATTTCTGAATTTGATTAATTTTCGTTAATTAGGTTTTTTCAATGTGATTTTTGAGCAACTTTTAATTATTGCTAATTATTTGAAGTTATAATTATCGTTTGTTTTTAATTCATTGTATAATTAGGTTTTATTTAGTTGCTTATATTTGAGATGAGATTGTGATTTTTTTATTTTATAGTTATTAGGTTTGTTATTTTCTTGAATATGATTCTGAACATTGAATAATTTTTAGTTTTAATTAGTTGTATTTTCTATTGATTTATTGATGAAATAATCACATTATTGATCTATTATTTTTAATCTTCTGTAATTTTTGATTAGATTTTGATTAATATGATTCTGCAGTAGTATTATAATAATTTGTGTTGATTTTCATCATTTGTTGATTAATCTGTTCATTAATTCTTGATTTTGAACTTTCGCCTCTTTTGATTTCTTGCTGAACTATTTATGTCCAGATAATATTGCATAATATGATTTTGTTCAAAGTGTTTTGAATTTGATTTCTGATTTATGAATTTTTATATGATTTTGAACATTGCATAATATTTAGGTTTAATTAGTTGTATTATTCAATTTATTAATTGATGAACTAATTAAATTATTGATCAATTTACGATTAGCTTCTGGAATTTGTTTAAGATATTTTGATTTCTTATTGTATTTTATTAATTTGTGATGAATTTTATCATTTTTTGATGAATTTAATGAATATTATTTGTTTATAATTCGTATTAGTCGTATTATTAGTATTTTAAATATATTATGAACACTGTCATGTTATTTTTTGAATCTTTATTTTATTATATTGAACCTTTGATTTTATATATATTTTAATATAGAATTGTACAAGTAATTATGAACATCTTATCCTTTTATTTGAACTTTGTTCTTTTATTTTTGAACTATAATAATTTTTGTTATGCATTTTGTTTGTTTATTGCAGTTTATAAGTATGAAGTTGTTTATAAGGAAAGTGAAAAGTCTGAATTGCAGTGGAAACAAGTCAACAGTGATGCGGAGGCATATGAAATGTTTAATGATTATGCATTTCGGCATGGATTTAGTATTAGGAAAGGGAAAGTTCGATATGTTGGTACTTCAAGTGTTTGGAGAGGCAGAAATTATATATGTTCAAATGCTGGTTTGAAGGATACTTCTTCCAAGGTGCCTAGGAAGTATTCTAAGTTGGATTACCGTACATGTTGTGAAGCTTACATTGATTTTGTTATTGATGAGAAAGGATTTTGGACTGCTGTTAAACACAATATGGATCACAATCATGCTATGATACCTGTTAGAAAAGACATCTCCTTAGGTCTCAAAGGAAAATTCAAGGTGAGCATTTGAAGTTCATAAGTACTATGAAGGCTAGTGGGGTTAGGGTTACGGATTCTCTTCGTGCTTTAAGGAAAGAAGTTGGTGGATCTCCTAATCTATGCTACACTGTTACTGATGTTTACAACGCTTTAGCTACTGAAAAAGCCGACAGATTAGAAGGTGGTGATTGTAATGCTTTGATCAAGTCTTTTGCTGCAAGACAAGCCAAAGAGAGTGACTTTTATTATGAGTTTGAGGTTGATGGAAATCGTGTCCTTTGTAGTGTATTTTGGAGGGATGGAAGAATGCGAAGGGATTATGAAGCTTTTGGTGATTTGATGGTGTTCGATACCACCTATAGAACTAACAAATATGGCATGATTTGTGCCCCTTTTGTTGGTATGAATCATCATTGTAATAATGTCATGTTTGGAATGGGTTTTGTTCTTGATGAAAAGACCAGCAGTTTTGTATGGTTGTTTGAGGCTTTTATGAGATCTATGGGAGGATGTCAAGACCCCATAACCTTAATGACTGATCAAGCCCCTTCAATTGCTGCAGCAATTCGACAAATTTTTCCAAGCACTCGGCACCGTTTGTGCACTTGGCACCTTGGTGAGAATTCAAAGACCAACATAGGAGGACTCAGAATGAATATTAAAAGGGTTTCCAGAAGTATTCGATTATTTGCTTAAGTACTGTGAAAGTCCTGCTGAATTTGAACATTACTGGCCAAGGTAAGCTTTCTTTAATATTATTTGAACCTTTTAGTTTATGTTTTGAAATTTTTTATTTGATATCTGAACTATTACATTTACATATTTGCGGACTTAATTTTATTGAATTTAGCCTGATTTGTTTCTTTTTGAACATTAATTTTATATATTTGAATTAAATGTATTAAGTTTTGAACCTTTCTTTAAATATGAACTATTTATTATTTATTTTCAACATTTTTACTTTTCTTGTTTAACAAGTGTATGTGAATAGTATTATTTATGTTTTGAACTTTTGTTTCTGTAATTTGAACAACTATATTATCATTTTGTTTATTGATTTGTTGTTTTTTTTAATAGAATGATGACAAAATACAAGTGTTCAGAAAATGATTGGTTAAATCACTTGTATGATATTAAAGAGAAATGGTGTCCTGCTTATTCAAAAGATTATTTTTCGGGTGGAGTTTTGTCATCCCAAAGGAGTGAAACAACAAATCATTCTGTTTCCAATAGATTGAATAAAACAGATGGTTTGAGTGACTTTTACAGTACCTTTCTTGATGTTATATCAGAGTGGAGGAGTAAAGAAAGTAAGCAAGATTTCCGTTTTTTGAGGGGTAACCGTCATCTTGCAGTAGCTAATGTTCGTTTACTCATACACGCTAGGGAGATTTATACTATTTCTGTGTATGTGGTATTTGAGGATCAATTTGCGAAAGGTATTTCATGTTGTCAAGAGCGAAAGCATGAAGATGATGAGACTATTTGTTATTATGTTTGGAGGCCAAATAAGGACATTATAAGGCATGAAGTTACTTATGAGAAATTCACTTTTAATATCAATTGCACTTGTAAGTATTGGAGTGAGATGGGGTTGTTATGTGGACACTCTCTTCGTATATATAATATTCATTGTGTGCAAAAAATACCAGAACAGTATATAGTGAAGAGGTGGGCTAAGAAGGCTATGTGTAGTCATGTGTCTGATGAAGAGACATGTGAAGATGTTAAAGTTGTTCCTTCTGCTGTTTGGAGAGTTCAAATGGTTAGGAAGTATGTTCAGTTAGTGACATCATGTCAAGAAGATCTTTTAGCAAGAAATGAAGTTGAGTATACTTTTCAAATGTTACGTGAAAAGGTGGAAAGTGTGATGGGTCCAATTCATGTTGATGATGTTGATGTTGGTGAAGAAGCTAAAGAAGAAGGTGATGAAGAAGGGTTCATAAACAATCCAAAAATAGCTAGAAAAAAGGGTGAGAGAAACTACAGGCCAAAAAGTACTGTTGAAAAAGCATGTAATAAAGCTAAGAGTTGGAAAAAGAAAGTAGATAAATACAAAGATGAAGCCAGAGCTACTGTCCAAAAATTGGTTGTTGAGGTAATTTTGAACCTCTTTTATTTTTATTTGAACTTTTTTTTTTTATTGAATAGTTTATAATTTTCTAAAATTTTGTAGGTTTTAGATGATGATGGAGATCCTTTGGTTTATACACATCCAACAACACAAGGACCAAATCTCTCTGTACTTTCTAAGAAAAAGAATGTTCAAAGTAAAAATAGTAAAGCTACTACCAATGCTTCTCATTCATCATCAGCAAATGTAAGTATTTTTTGAATATTTTAATTTTCTTTTTTTGAATTGTTTTGTATTATATATGTTTAATTTCATTTTTATTTTTAGGTTTTTGGTGACGGGTTTAGAACTGGTTCTCAAGCTTCAAATGAAAAAGGATTCAAAAATAGTAACCCTTTAACTAAATCTACTCAGCAATTTTCATCTAATGTAATATTTTTTTTTTGAACTTTTGTTGTTATTCTTTTGAACTTTTTTTATTATATTTTGAACTTGTAAATTTTGTAGGTGTTTGAAGGTGAATCATCCAACAATTTTCCAAGCTCTAATTCTTCTCAGCCATCCTCATCAAAAGCTTCAAATACCTTTTCAACAAATAATGTTCAGCCTTCCTCTGGAAATATGTCAAGATCTACTCATTCACCTTTTTCAAATGTAATTTTTTTATTGAACTTTTTTAAGTTTTTCTTGAATTTGTGTTTTTATTATTCTAAATTAACTTGAATTTTCTGTAGGTTTTTGGTCATCAAGCTTCAACTAGTTCTTCTCATGCATCCTCATCAAAAGCTTCAAATTATTTTCGAACAACTAAGCCACCTTTATCAAATGTAATTTTTTTGCTGAACTTTTTAAGGTTTTTCTTGAACTTTTCTGTTTAGATTCTGAACTATCTTTAATTTTCTGTAGGTTTTTGGTTTTCAAGCTTCAACTAATTTTCCAGCGAGTGTTGCACAGTCTTCTTCAAGAAATGTATGTTTTTCTTGATTTTTCTTTTATATATTTTGAACTTCTTTTTTTTTTTTATTACTGATCTTTTGTTATTTTTGTAGGTTTTTGAAGGTCAATTATCTAATAATTTTCCAGGTCCTAATTCTTCTCAGCCATCAGCATCAAAAGCTTCAAAAACCATTCCAAGAACAAATGCTCAGCCTTCCTCTGTAAATTTAACCTCTTTACTCTTAACGTTCTTGACATTTTTTAAAGATAATTTATTAATATGTGTGTGTTTATAATATACGTTTTTAGGAATGTGGATGTCAAGCTAAAAATACAAAATCTTTTTCAAGAGCTACTCAGCCATCTTTATCAAATGTAATTTTTATATTGAACTGATAAATGTATTTTTTGAACTATTTTCCTTAAATTCTGAACTAACCTTGATTTTCTCTAGGTTCATGGTCATCAAGCTTCAACTAATTTTCCAGCAACTGGTTCTCAGTCTTCTGCAAGAAATGTAGCTTTTTTACTGAACTTTCTTTAATTTAATTTAAACGTGTTACATTATAATTTGAAGTATATATTTTTATTTTAGGTCTCAAGTGTTTCTCAGGCTAAAAAAAGGAAAGTATCTGAAGTGAATCATAACAGAAGTTTTCGATATGAAACTAGTAAATGGGCTCAAGTAAGTGTGAACATTTTCTTCTTTATTTTGTATTATTGTTTTTTTGTATGAATTTTGGTTTTTTGTTTTTTTTTTTATCGTTCTTTTAATTTTTGTGTTTTTAGTATTTTGATGCTGGTCGCAATGCAAGGAATGAAGGGTCTCGTGCTTCTGGATCTTCTAATGTTTCAAATTATGATGCAATGTTATCAATGTTTGACAAGACAAGTAATTCGTAGGTTTTCAATATATTTGAACACTTTTTCATAGGTTTACAATATGTAATAACATTCAAATGCTTATTAATTTTCAATATATATGAAAAATTTTGCATTATAATTTTATTGTTTTAATTTTTTAATCAAAATAAATATTGACAAACATATTTTATAAAATGAACTACTACAGTTTAATATTTGAACACAAGTTTAATGTCAACATTTACTACAAATATTACATACTTATGTTAATCTCAATCCAAATTAAAAATTCAAAAAACATTTGTCTTCATCAAACTTCAAATTCAAGCAAATTACATAAAATCACTGTCTCTTGAAATGTTAATAAACCTAAATATTAATTCTCTTCCATTCTTCTTCTTGTTGCCATTTTCACTCTATATCCTTCTTTGTTGGTGCGGCTTAATATTATTTCGGAACAATATTGCACTCTAAGCTTCCTTATTTGATCAACCTGAACATGCACCCCGAAATTATATAATTATGAACACTATATAAAATGTCTTGAACATAAAAAGAAAACATTTGAACAATATTTTTGAAACTCACATTATTTGCTTTCAAATCACAATTCCATTCTACCAAAGGCTCTGTTGTGTATGTTTCCATATGTTTCATCACATAAACACCACAATTTTTATGATCCAAATTGCTTCTCCATTTCATCTTGATCAAATTAGTCTTGAAACTTAAGACTCTAGCAATATCACTTCTGTATAATCTTATGTTCGCATAAAATATGCAAAAGCTTCTAGCTGTAAAACATAATAACATACTTTTTGAACATCTCAACTCAATTTACTGAACACAGTCTAAGAACAAATTGAACAAAAAATAATTTAGTACTTTACCATTTTTTGAGGATTATCTTCATATTTGGTAGATTCTTTGACATTCATTGGAAGCTTCCTGTTGTCAATCAAATCAATTGTTCCATTGTATATGTTGATACATAGCAAGTAGAAGTGCTTAAATGCAGGCACAGGAAAAAAGAATTCCCTATATTTTTTTATGTTGGTGATACCACTATTTGTCATTTCATAGTTCAGTCTTTCTGCAAACTTCTCATGTCTTACTTCTTTTGTGGTGTTCACACTTTTACCCATGTCTGTGCACACAATCAACTGCAATTAACCATTCAAATAATGAACAGTAATTACAAAAATAATGAACACTGAACAAAATATACTGAACAGTTTGTAGAAAAATATTAAATATGGTTTATTTAAGAATATTAAATATATATTTTCTTACGTATGGCATTGTGGAGAAGTAAATGCTATGTTTTTTGCCTTTGGTATTCAGAATATGAGCCCAAGCATCGATAACTGCATTGGCGACCTCTTCATTTGTTCCATGTGTCCTCATTTCTTCCCTGTTGACACTATTTTCTCCATCATGGTACAATACTTCACTGCCAATACAAGAAAAAAAAAATAACAAACTAAGTTAAGCTTCATTTTATTATTTGAACTATATAAATAAATATCTGAACACAGTAAATTAATTTTTGAACAATGAAATTATATTAGAAACTTACTCATTAAGACCTTCACTGAATGCATAATCAGATAAAGTTGCTTGCATTGCACTAACATTTTTGAACAAATCCACATATTTAATCATGAATGGGCATTTTAGACAAGCCGGCAATTTTGTAACTTCTCTTCGTGGTCTTTTGTTTGCATCAACATCCTGTTTTGTTTTTGGTCTAATGTAACAATATAAAAGTATTGTTAGTTTTTTTGAACTATACATTTATGAAACTGAACTGTATATGAATTGCTAATGAACTTTGATCGAATATATATGTTTTATACAGTTACCCCTGTGATTTTTCAGAAACTCCTTTTTCTTTTCCTACTTCTTCTTTAGATCTGTACATTTGAACATACAAAAAAGACGTATGAGCATATAAATATAATTATTTGAACACAGAAAATTAATATAGGAAATATATTATTCAATACTTCATAAATACATTTATATTTGTACTTGTTCTGATTTCATCCAAAATATTTATGCTGACTTTATCAGCTTCTATCCTAGTTGTCCAAAAAATTACAGATTCATTACATTACTTCCAAAATATTTACATATCTTTTTCCTTTTCTTTTCTACTCTACTGCCCAAAAAATTACATATATATGTTCAGATAGAATGACATTACCCTTGATATTGAAAGTCCTTTGAAAGCGGGTTCGTCAAAATATCATCAAGTGTTGCATCATTGGTTGTAAATATATTGGCAAAGTCAGTGGCATCATCAAACATGTCTTCAAAAGGCATAGGTGATGACTTTCCATGTGCATCAAGTTCTGGCATTTCAAAAGTCACCTGCTTTGCCTTTCCTTTATCACCACTTTCTGCCACTTCTTTTTCAGGACCTTTCTCTCCTCTACCTATGGTAAGTGTTAGGTCAAGTGTACTTTTCCCAGCACTAGTACTTTCTTCCCTTTGATCTCCACTTGCCATAGGAGGAGCACCACTTACCATAGGACTTTTACTTCCTCCAGTTTGAACATTTGTTGGTGGTGTTGGAGGTTCATCAATTCCCAAATCAAAAGCACTCCATGTTATAATCCTCCCCTACCTTCTGTTTTCCCCATGCTCTTGTTCTCTCTTTTTGTTTTTTTTTTCTCAGCTTCTCTTCTTTCTGTTTCTTTTTTCCCAGCTTCCTTTTTTTCCAAATACTCTCTTTCAATCTGATCAATAGCCTTCAAGAAAGAAAGCCTCATCTTCACTCAAATTGGAATCATCATTCTTTCTTTTTCCAATAAGACTTTCAACACTTTTGATTATCATGTTGTTAGGGAACAGGTATTTTCCTAGCTTCAGCTTCTCAGTCATTTTTGATACACAACTTCCCAAAGTCTTTACAATATCCATCAAATCATCCATAAATTCCTCCCGATTTCAATTAAAAAAAAATTGACTTAAGTTTACAAAATTTTGAACATGCATTATAGGTTGATGAACATCAATTATTAAATTCTTTATTATTTGAACTTTAGACGAAAACATTTGAACATTTATCATAACACTCTGAACAAATAGAAATAAAATTTGAACAAAAAAGTAAATGAACTTTGGTTGGCAGATTCTCCTGATTTCAATATAAAATAATTGACATATGTTTACAGTATTTTGAACATGCATTTAAAGTTAATGAACAGTAAAAATTTGTTGAATGAAGTTTTAACTGATTTGATAATGCAGTATTTTAGTATTCTTTATTATTTGAACATTTGAGAAAGCATTTGAACATTTGTCATTACACTCTGAACTATTTGAAATAAATTTTGAACAGAAAAGAAAATGAACCTTGGTTGGCAGATTCTCAGATATTGGCAGATCATCACTTTCTTGTTGTTGAACTTTTTGTTGTTGCTGTCCAGGTATTTGTATTCTTTCTAACACACTTCCCAATCCAAATTGAGACTTTCCCTCCAATTTTATTCTTTCTTGAATCATATCTCTATTCCAAGCTGAAATGATTGGGTATGTCCTTGGTTTCTCGATACCTCTTTTTTGCACTCGATCACAATAGAATAACTGCGCCATTAAAAAAGCATACCAAAACATTATTTCCATGTTTAAATTTTTAAAAAATGTAACAAACATATGCATTAAAATTTGAACAAACATAATCAAAAACCTTGAAACTTTGAACATATTGATATATGGCATTAAAATTTTGAACAATCATAATCAAAAACCTTGAAACAAACATAAGAATATAAGACATTAAAATTTTGAACAGTCATACCAAAACTGTTGAACATAAGAATAAAATGTATAATTCATATTATAATAAGGCAAACACATTTTGAACATATTCCATTTTAATTTTGAACTAATAGGTATAACTTTTGAACATCATGCAATACAATATGAACAAATAATAAAAAAATAACAAAAGTCAAAAGCATACCAACAATAAAGGCAGTGGTCCCTTAAAAAAATCCTTGGTGTTTTGTTTCCACTCAGGTACTGTGAAAATCAGACTTTGTAGCACATACTTGCACCAATTCAATTCCTTTATCTCATTACAATCTTGAATTGAGTGTAGGAATTTGTAGTGGCAGTGAAGGTTTTGGCTTGTTTTCATCATTGAGTTTACAGCGAGCACAATGAAATCTATTTTGAACATTTCAGTTGCTTCTCCCGTGTTCTTCTCTTTTGACTCTATGGCTGCTGTGACATATTTCCTCTTATGCAAAGCTTGTTGATCTCTCTTGATCTTCTTTTTTTCCTCACTTTCATACTTCTCAAAAATCCATTGTGTTCTAGGGCTTCCAGTTTTACACCCCCACATTTCCCTCCACCTCATCAAAGGTGTCACAATCTCCAAATCTTCATCTTCTTCCTCTTCCTTGTTTGGCTCTTTTTCAGAAACAATTTTTTTACCTCTAGGTACTCCATATACAATCTGAACATCTTGTTCATTTATCTCCACTGATTTGTTAAATGGCAAGTATAAAGTGTTGTTGTTTTCTTCAAAATGTTTCAACAGCCAAGCACAAAACACTGCATCATTTTGTGGCAAATTCACAGAAAGAAATGCCCCAAATCCCATTTCTTGCACTGCTTGTTTTTGTTGTGGTGTTAAGCTACCTATAAACTTCATAAACTTAACATGTCCCACTCTAACACATAGCTTATCTTCTTCAACCTCATCATTATCACTCAAATTCACTACATTGTCATCAATCAGCTCATCATCATCAACTTTTCTCTTTCTTTTTTTGTCAATCTGATCAACTTTTTTTCCTTTCTCCTTTTTTTGAACTTTTTCAACTTTTTTCTGAACTTCTTTTTCCTTCTTCCGAACTCCCTTTTTAACAATCTTTTGTGAAGATTGTTCTCCTTCCTTTGCACCAGTTTTTTCTTTGATATGAACCCCCTTCTGTTTTGTTTTGAACTCCCTTTCTAATTTTCTGAGTTCTGTTAAACTCTGATTCTGGAATTAACCTCTGCTTCAACAGGCTTTTCTTGCTCTTCTGGGGTGCTTTGGCTGCGCAACACTCGTGATGTTGTAGTGCTTGTGTTTTTCCTTTTTTTTGTAGCTATATGTTTTTTCTTCCTGTTTTAATCATTTATATAGTCTAAGTTAAAAAATTCTTACATTTATGTAATTAAATGAACATACACTATAAATAAAATGATTGAAAAACATATTAACATTTTACCTTGGCTTGCTCTGACTAGCATTGTCACCATTGTTTCCATTTGGTTCAGAATTTCCTGTAGGATGTTTAGAATTTCCTTGTTCTTCAGATGGGATTACAGAATTTGTTGGAGGATATTTATGATAGGGTGTTCATCTAAAAATTTAATAATAAAATATTATCAATTATTCCAATACAAATTGTAATAAAATATGTTCAGTGGTTATTTATTGTTAGTTGTTCAAAAGAGTATGAAGTGTTGTTCAAAAACATATCAATACATAATTTAAATTGATAAACATGCAAGCAAATATACAAACATAAATACACAATTGTGGGGTTTTCAGTTGATTATTTGGAATTATCCTTCAAAAAAATAACATATATTCACATTAAACAGAAAATATATGAATTAAAAATTCAAAATATACCTTTTTAATGGACTTCCTTCTATATCTTCTAATTTCTTCTTTTTTGGTGTTTTCATATTGAACAACTGACTT